AGGGGAAAACGCGTGAGGCGACGCGGCGTCCGCGGAGCGGCCGAGCTGCGGAGTTACTGACCGCCGCGGTTCAAGGGGTTTAACGTTTAACCGGTGCAGCGCGCTGCGGTTTGTAGTTCTGCCGTGCGGCCAAGGCCGAGCGTTAATTCTTATGGCAGGTTCGGTGGCGAGGTGTTCACTTCCAAAGTCAAAGCGCTCCTCTGAGGCTTCTTCAGTAGGGTGTTGGCATGTCTCTGCGGCCTTCTCCATACGGATCAGACATTTGTAAGGGCTTAAACAAGACAAATTGGGAGGAGGCACGGGGTTTAGTTAAACTGTGCCACGTCAGTAAGTTGGCTGTGGAGGTGACAATAGTAACTTGGACTCTGTTCTCAGTGTTTGGCTGTAGTCCTGTGGCTCTCTAAAATAACACACGTTTTCTTTGTTTCAAGTAAGCAACTGAACCTGCAGTCATACTGCCCCAATTCTTAATTCACATCGTGTTTCACACTCGCTTGAAAAAAAAACAAACATAAAAGTGAACGTCAAATAGACCAGTTGTTAAAATATCAAATGACTACAGTACCAAGTAGGCATGAAGGCCTTTGGGAATTCAGCTGGGTATCACTCATATGGGAGTGCATCTTGTGCTGCAATATACAATGCAAGATTTAAAATCGGAAACACAGACTAAAGAATGAAAAATGAGCCTTCAGTCTTGGCTCTAAATCTCTTGAGTGAAAGACTGACTTCTTGAGTCTTAATTGTACCATCACCAAGGCTTTGCATAAACTGCTTAGACGTTTACTTCTTAGCAGGTTCGGCTGTAAATTTTTTCAAGCCTATTTCTCATAATAAATGTGTATTTTAATACACGTTCTTGGAGAACATTTGTTAGATAGCTCTTTGAGAAAGTCTGAGTGCAGTTTCTTTTCCTCCAGTCTCCATAACTTCCACAGTACGCTTTTAAAAGAAATTACCCCGTGAATTTGACTCTGACTGGTTAATGGCTTATAGTTACAAAATGACTATATGCCATTGCAGTCACACATCAGCGTGTATCTCACAACACCTGTTGGTGTCTTAGGGAATAAATATCAACACTTTTTTGAAACTGCAAGGTTAAATAATAGTATTTTTCTTAACAGGAACCCTGGAGCCTGTGAAACACTGAAAGTCAAGTGGAATTAGCAGATGATTGTCAAACCTTTATTTTGAATTTGATCCAACAAAAAGGAAAACTGGTAGAAAATGTCCCCTGGGAAAATTCTGCAACCTGTACTGAAAATGAAGGTGGATGAACTCTTTTTGTGCTGGTTGAGTCAGCCTGCGACTCAGCTGGCCCTAAAGGACTGCTTGAGAAGAATCAAGAATGAGCAGAAAACAGTTATTGGTAATGGAGATGCAGGAAATGGTAAAAATGAGAGGTTCGCTAATAACAATTCCAATTCCAAGCAATGCATATTAGGAGATACCAGATTGCCTTTGATGTCTTTCAGTCCTCCTCAACTTTCTACTACTCTTCCATTGGCAACTCCAGCTAGCACAAGGAATGTTTCTAATGTTCGAGCAGCACCTCGATCCTCAGGAACCAGAATAGTAAGTTTGTTTCTTGTGGGGCCTATTTGTTTAAATAGAAGTGAATTTTGTGCCTGTGGTATTGGCATACTGTGCAAGTAATTTTTTTCCCCACAGGAGGTGTTGGGAGTGGAGTGATGCAGCAACAGCACCGAACATCAAATGTCAATGTTTGTGTGGCTAGGTGCTAATGGCTAGGTGGCATAATCTTTGAAAAAACTGTCTTGGCTCCTGGCAGCTCTGTTGCTTTTCATAAGCTCTACATGTCTGACACAGAATGAGAAATGAGTTGTCTTCTACTTCTAATATTTTTTCTGTCAAGAGCAATATTGCCTTTGTTCTTTAAAACTGCAGAGAGGAAGGCGTCTTAAATTCCATATCCAGTACAGCTGATTAGATTTAGAATCATATAATCATAGAATGGTAATGGTTGGAAGGAACCTTAAAGATCATCTAGTTCCAACCCCACTGCCATGGGCAGGGACACCTTCCGCTAGA